CCCCCCTCTCGCCCTGTGCCTCCTCATTCACATAAACACAAGACCCCAACAACACAGGCTACCTAATACATTTGTCCGGGATAGACCAGTGTAGTATCCGGTGTGTGTGCTGCTCCTGTAGTAAAACAGTAGAAAGGTATCATGGCACACTCACAAGCCAGCATGTAAAACAACTTGTCTCACCACTGAGGTTAATAACAGAGGTTTGGATACACGTCTTCTGCAGAAAATGTGAAAGCCGCACAGCCGCGCCAAGGCACCTCTTATAGTGCGGTCCTAACTCTAAACTATGAGAGTCTCCATCTTGGAGCACATGGGGGCAGAAGATTTCAAATTGGGTGCAGGTTTGTCAGGAGGAAGCTGAACTAGCTGGTGGCTGAAGGAGGTTGTGGGCCCAGTTTTTTTTTTTGTCAAATATATTTTTATTGAATATAAAAAGTAACAGTGTTAGAAGATTGAGCATGGTATATGCACAGAATTCCAATGTACAAAACAATATCACATTTTCATATTGGATCTCAAGAGATGGGTGCTGGCTACAGTGGTAGGCTTCCCGGTAGGTCTAGTAAACAGTCGCATGTGCATGCGTCGGTAGGTTCATTGAACACTGTAAGTGAATACCTTGCCACTTAATAGCACTGGCGCCTGCCGGGAAGGCCTGAGAGCCATGGAATGCTGAAGATATGGAAGGGGAGTATAGTAACTCCAGTTGGTGCTGAGCCCGGTCTGTTCAGGTGGGCTCAGTTTGTTATCTGTACAAATGGTGGAGGTGTGTGGCTGAGGATTGGAGGGGGGAGCTGTGGCTTCAGTGCTGACTGTACTTCCCCTTTAGAAATGCCCACAATTTGGGCTTCTGCCCGGGGGGAGAATGTTTTGACAGAAATAAGGTTAGGTTAACAAGCCTTTTTAATTTCTGGTGAGAGTTCTTCTTTATTTAACACTGAAGTTTACACTTTCTAATTTCTATTTATAGTTTTGAAGTCAAGCAACGCTTATGAAAGAAGAAAGATATATTTCTTCCTTGCTTGCCGTGTCACCCATTGTCACTCCTTAGCTCAGGAATTGCCTGCACAGTTTAAAGGACCTCCACCGCCGAGTACACTATTACTCCCGTTCCGTTGAACACTCCGGCTGAAGTATTTTTCAGAAACCGACCCCTCTGGGAGAGTCAAGATCCCGGTCCCCTGATTCACTCAGTGGTTCCTCCCCTGACCCCTGCATCAGCACAGGACATAGCAGAGACATAGGGGTCAGCAGTTGGAACCACTGAGTTCAGTGGGGGGGACAAGGGTATCGACGCTCCCGGACAAGATCTACCATCTACTAAAAAGCTGCAATACAAGTCAGATGGAGTGGCCCTTTAAGTATTCTATATATGCAACCGTGGATTTGTAGGCATCACACGGGCTCTGCTTAGATACATTTGTACCGTAACGACTTCCCCATTTACCGTTTGTGCAGTTTATTATTAATCAATGTAAATGGCGGAGACGCGACGGTGCGGTTATGTTTGCCGCATCGCCTCTTCAGGTGTAAGCATGAAATACGGCACTGTCTGCGTACCCTGTTCTTGGAAAGGAGATATACAGCTGTCCCCGGAGGGGAACATCCGCCTAATTGATTTCTTCACCGCATCCTAAAACGGTTCGATATTTAGATTAATAGAGCGTAACACCTCTGTCCTGTTAAAGCGAGTTCCTGAGCAATAACACTCCTTGTGTTCCAGATGCCGAGAGGTCATTTCAGAAGTCTGAGACTGATCCGGAAAGATGTCGGTGTGCCTGACGGAGGAACAGAAGAGGAAGATTGAGGAGAACCGGCAGAGGGCGTTGGCGAGGAGGGCGGAGAGACTTGCCGTGCAGAAGAATGGAACTAACCAGAGCGCTCCGGTCTCTTCCGGTGTCCAGGTGTCGGAGCTCGGAGGGAACGTGCAACCAAACAGGCCGCAAGGCTTTAATGTTCCATCAACCAAAGTGCCGGGACAAAATAATAGTTTTGAGTTTAACTCTTCAAAAACTGGAAGCAGCCATTTGCAGTTGATAGGTGGCACTGGCGGTGGGGTACCCGCACAGACCTCGGTTGGCACTGCCCAAAGTTATTCCTTTGATGCAAGGACAGAGGCACAGCCTCCTTGTCAGAATGCACCCGCGCCCTTACCCGCAAAAGTGGACTCTGCAGCCGAGCAATGCTTTCAGCCTAAGAGCATCGGCACTATGGCAGCTCCAAACCCAAGCCACGAGCCACCCAAACTCAATCCGTACAAGTCTTCAGACGCACCTCTGGGTGCTGGGAAAGATGGCACGGGACCTGAAAAGAGTACCAGTAACGTGTCTCAGTTTTACGGCACCAGCTCCAAATATGTTTCCGCTGCCGAGAACAAGAGCGCTACAGATGGGCGAGAGAAGGCAGGCGGCGGCGGCGGCATCTCGGATACGGCTCAGAACAAGAAACCAGCGACGGCCGCAAAAGGAAGGTGCATTAAACATGCTGAAGATCGTTTCCGGGTTGAAGTGGGTTACAACGCAGAGCTCATTGCTTTGTTTAAAACGATCCCCAGCAAAAGTTACGGTGAGTTGATAACGTGATGTGGTGGGTATAGAATAAAGAATAACATCCTCGTATAACATTTTATCATTTAAAATGGTGAAAGTGTGACTCCAGTCAATAATTCTTTTTTTTTTTTGTAGTTTTGGAATAGAACCTCTGCTGGGTTTCATTTCTGTCTGGTGCTCTATTCCAAAGCTTTTCGGTGCTCCTATCCGACCTCAATATGTGAATAAGAAAAAACAGTGTCTCCCTGGCTGCCAAGGCTTGCCGATAGATGTTTTTGCCAATAGGGACTTTGAACATTATCAGGAATGCAGATGCTGTGCAGTTGCTTCGTGACTGCGTTGCTTCACCTCCTAATCATTATAGGCTTCTAGAATTAGCCGTGCCATCTTCTATAGCGCAGCAATTGGTTTGAGTCACAGATCTATAACTGTAAACATTGAGATTTATAGGACTGGGGGAATGCACTCGATTGATTTCCTGCAACCTGCGTGTTTATGGCTGACGCTGAATTTTGTTTTGTGTGTGTTCTAGATCCTGCCACCAAGATGTGGAGCTTTGGCCTGGAAGATTACACCAACCTCAGTAAGTCAAGGATGCCGGACTGCTGATTGTGAGCTGCTAACCAAGCAATGAGGGTTTTACGTTTCACATTACAAGGGGATTTTGGGGAAGCATAAAAGGAACCATGATTGTATAGTAGCTCTGCAGGATAGTCATGTGCAGGCCCAGATTCCTCACAAGGCCACCGAGGCCAGGCTTCAGGGCGCAGAGGGGCGGCAGCGGTGTGGAATTCCCCGACGCCCGGAACATAAAGTTCCGGGCGCCGGGCGGTCAGTTGCTTTCTGCATTTAGTCCTGCTTTAGGAAGGCAGGACTAAATGTAGTGTGGGGAAGCTGCTTGTTCGTTTACACGTGATCGCCGCGAGGGGGGTGCATTGCGGAACCTAGCCTTGGGAAGGCAGAGAGAGTAAATCCGGCCCTGGTCATGTGGTGACACAGCACTGGTTTCCAGTGTCATGGGAGTCATGAAAAGAAAATTGAACTACCCATGATGATTTGGCAGGATTATGCTTCTGCTGCGTAGTTTGTAACAAGGGGTTATGTGCAGATATGGCATCCATTCACTGACTCCTGCAGGAAAGTTAAATGACTGCACCACACTAGATCCGTGTAGCCATGATGTTTCACTGGCTTTATCCGCCTACCAGACAGTTCCGGGTGGTCAGTTACATTGGATTGTGGAAAGAATGCAATTTAAAAAAAAAAAAAGACAGTCACCAAAGGGGTCTCCTAATAGCTTTTAGCACTAAAGCTGAACTCCGACCTTAAAGTGACATCAAACCCTCAATTTTTTAACATAAAACAATACTGTAATGTGCGCCTTACTGTAATCCATGGTTGTTTCCCTTCTCTTTGCTGCTCTTCCTTTTAAATCTGTATCTCTTCTCATGCTTGGGGAGAACTTCCCTTTGCAGCTGAGTGCCTCTTCCTGTAGTGCTGGCTCAGGTTGTGAACCTTCACACAGACACCATGTATCCATTCCAGAGACAAGGCAGTCTGCTGCAAAACAGAAGTTCTGCCCAGGCATGAGAAGAGATACAGATTTAAAAGGAAGAGCAACAACGAGAAGGGAAACAACCATGGATTACAGTAAGGCGCACATTACAGTATTTTATGTTACAAAATCTGAGGGTTTAATGTCACTTTAAATAAAGAAGTCTCACTGGTGGTTGAAATTACTTGTTAAATTCCCCCAAGGAACCCGTTGCACATACGGTAGCACTTGTCCCCGTTACCATCCATGCATGAAGTTTCTGAATAGCTTGCCCACCCTCCACTCACCGCTATCCGACCACACTGGGTGAAGAAGACGGCAGTTCAGATTAACAATGCACAGAGGAGACGGGGTGTGACAGGAAGCACACACAGACCCCGCCCAGAACCCCCCCCCCCCCTTCTCTGAAAGCTGCCATACGGAACATTGGCAGCCTTCCTTGCCCTGCGCCTCCTCATTCACATAAGCACAAGTCCACAACAACACAAGCTGGCTACTACATTTGTCCGAGATAGACTAGTGCAGCACCTGGCGGTGTGTGTGTTGCTACTGTAGTCATTTTCTCTGAACTAGAGGCTGAAGGAAGTTGCAGGATTATTTTTTTATTAGTACAAAGGGAACAAAGGAGGAGCATGGCTGCAGATTGGAGGGGTGCTGTGGCTTCAGTGCTGCTTCCTTTAATCTTGAACAGTTGTACAGGCACTTGTCTTGTCTTCTTTCGACATTTCTGAAAAAAAATAAAAATACTTTTTGGATTGCATACATTTGTGGCACTCCTATTCCTTAATTTATGTGCTCCTCATTATCTAATGTCATGTTCTAGGCTAATGAGGGATCATTTTGGTGCAAACACAGGTCCATGGATAGTTGAAACGAGCTTCCCTAACCCTCAGGAGCCATTTAAAGCCAAATGTACACTTTAAATAAACATTTTTTGACTGAAAGTGTAATAAGATCTGTGAGGCAATGAGTCCTGTGGGCCAATGACACCAGCAAAGCAGATATATGAATGCTCTGTACCATAGCCATGTGTTAGACTAACTCTTTGCCTCCTTTTAAACTCCCTCCATAGATCTTGCTGTGTATATTACACTGGTACAGTATATGTCGTTTAAGACTAGGGAAGGCTCATCCGGTTTATTGACTGCAGAGCTGACTACGTTTCCTTTGTTTTGCAGTGAGTGAAGTCCAGCGAATTCAGAACGTGTCTTTAAAACCCGTAGAAGGGATGGAGGATGTGGAGATCCCGGCACTGTCGAAATCGTCCAGCGGGGGCGCCGTTATTAACACTCTTCTGGCCATGTGCAAAAACTGGCAGAGACCTTCTGCCACCGTGAAAGGCCATTGCCTGATAATTTCCCGCTCTCGGTTTGAAGTGGAGATTGGATACCACGTGGAAGTCATCAGTCTTTTTAAGCAGATGAGCTCTCGGAATTATGGTAAGAAACATTACTCAGAACCTTATGTCGGGAGGTTAATTGGCTCCTGCCTAAATCGCCTAGTATGTATGCATGTTAGACTGATGTGAATGTACACTAGGGCTGCACCGATATATCGGCCGCCGAAACATATCGGCCGAAAATGGCACTTTTGGCTAAATGCCGAAAGTGCCATTTTCCTGCCGATACAGCGGCGCATCCCTGCTTTCTTTCCTCCCCGCTGGGTGCTGCTCTGTGTCCCAGCGGGGAGAAGAGAAACGGTGACAGCGTGCGAGCGCTGCGGTGGAGAGCGCTGTGAGCGGCCGGCTTCTCTCCTCCCCGCGCCACTCAGCCTCCTATCACAGTCTGGCAGAGTGGTGCCTCCTGTGACAGAGGAGAACGGGTACAAGCAGTCAGTGATCGCTGAGTGTTTGTAGATAATTGAGGACAGAGTATGCTACTATATCCCCAATTATGAATGAATGGGAAGTGATCTACATCTCCTCCTGTTCATTCATAGTTGTGGTTATAGTAAACATACTCTGTCCTCATGTTATGAATGAACAGGAACACTCAGTATAGAGCAGGAGTCTCAAACCTCCGGCCCTCCAGCTGTGGTGAAACTATAAATCCCATGATGCATCTCTCTTCGGGAGTCATTTCTGTGGCTGTGAGAATCTTGCAATGCCTCATGGAATTTGTAGTTCCACCACAGCTGGAGGGCCGGAGGTTTGAGACCCCTGGTATAGAGGATTCCTGTTCATTGATAACAGGGGATGCAGAAAAAGAGATTGAGGGCTCTGTGTTCTCTGAGGACTTTGTGTCCTCAATCTCTTTTTCTATTTTAAAAGGGAGATATCAGGGGTCTGTTTAGACGAAGCCCCTAAAAGTAAAGTAAAAAAATAAAAATATTTAATAAAAAATGAATATAAATAAAAATAAATATAAAAAAACTTAAAAGTTTATAAAAAATAAATGAAAATTAAATATTTGAAAAAATGAAATACAAAACGGTTTCGGCCTGACATTTATTTTAAATTTCGGTTTCGTTTCGGTTTTGAAATTTCTATTTCGGTGCACCTCCTAATGTACACCATGTAAAGCGCTGCGGAAATTGTTGGCGCTATTTAAATCCCAATTATGCATGAAGTGAAAAGGTTACTCTGCATTGGAGTCCTTACAGCATGCAGTTCTTAAAGCCTTAGTCTACCTTTATGCAGATCAGTAGTAAATGCAGCAACTCTGATTTCATGATCAATGTGCAGTTACTACTTTGCAATGAAGGCCGCAGAGCGTTGCACCCGCAATCATTGTGTAGCAGTGGCATTGCACATTATTCCCCCAGCCTCAGATCCTTAGGGAAGTACGGACCTAGCTGGAGGAGATTCTGATGAACTACAGAGTGGGGAGAGGGAGGAGCGGCCTCCTGGCTTGCTCTGCCCCCATGGCAGATGGGACTTGTAGTAATTTCCTTTCATCATTCCCAGACCTTGATGACACGGCTGCACCATACCAAGCGTAACCAGACAGTCCGCAGGAGGACTCTGACACTTGGTTGTACACAAGATTGTGGTCCATGCCACCAGGTGATGAGGGGGCATGGAGCCGGCTTCCCGGCCAATCAGGAACCCAGACGGTGTGTAATGACTCGCCGCCCGGTTTCCTGATACCGGAAGTTCCGGTATCGGGGCATTTGGGTGAGTATGAGTACTCGCCCAAATACTCTGTATCGGCACTGGTGCATCCCTAGCTCCCTTTTGGTCTGTTAAATATACCTATCAAAGTGTTTTTTTTTTTTTATATCTGTTTGATACGTTTAATAAAGTCCCTGTTGATCCTGCCAGAAATCCATTGGGATGATAACTACCCCTGCTCTCTGCAACGTTCTGTCAATCAGTGTTAAAAAGCCCTGACCAGTGAACTACAGCACACTCCCTCTAATGTTGTGGAAATAAGGAGAAAAGGAGGTGTTCTGTAGTCCTAACCCCCTTTCTTATCCTAGGGTGACAACAGTGCTTCTCCATAGATACAGTACAGCGAGTGAGTGTTGTCACCTTAGGAAGTATGTTAAAGGAGAACTATGAGGTGAGTGAAAATCACTCAGCCGACGTGTGACAATGAAAACTGTCACACGTCGGCTCAATAGATTGGGGAGTGTGGGAACACACAGGCCCGGTGCTACCGCAAAGCAAGTCAGGCGGCCGCCTGAGGGCGGTGCAGGGTGAGGGCGGAAAAAACAGGGCATTTTGACAAGTACTTGTCAAAATGCCCCGATGTTTGCGCTATGTTTTGTTTTCTTTTCACTTACCTTCGGCGCGGGAGAGCAGCGGCGAGTCAGCGCTGGTCCAGTGGGAGGAGCTCCAGGGGGAGTCCTAATTTAGCTGGCCGAGGACTGCCAGAGGATCCCGACACGCGCGGCACCTCAGGCAGTCGCCAGCCAGCTAAATTAGGACCCCACCTGGAGCTCCTCCCACCGGACCAGCGCTGACTCGCCGCTGCTCTCCCACGCCGAAGGTAAGTGAAAAAAACCCAAAACATAGCGCAAGCAGGCCCAGCGCTACAGCGGTCGGGCAGGGGGAGGGCAAAAATGCACATTGCCTGTGTAGGCAAGAATCCTAGCACCGGCACTGGGAACACATACCGTCACTCGTTCACTTCTCGATCATCTCCCTGCAGAGAGCCATGACTGAGCCGCTCCCCGCAGGAATTCTCTCCTCCCCGCTCCGATCTGCCAGCGCTGACTGGCGGAACGGACGGGGGACGGGGCGGGTACAGCTGGCTCTGCCTCTAGATAGGCAGAACCAGCTGTCAATCACGCAGCTGGGTGGATCTTGACAGCATTGTCTGGATCCGTCCCGGCTGCGGCGGTCTCATTATACAGCGAGCTGTAGCTCGTTATATACTGAGCTTTGGGTCACAGGAGGATGCTACCGTGTTTCCCCGAAAATAAGACACTGTCTTATATTTTTTTTTCCACGAAAAAAGACACTAGGTCTTATTTTTACCTGGCTGCAGCTGTCAGTACAGGATAGTCCTGGCGGCAGACAGTACCGGGCTGGGGGAGGAGTACTCACGGGACTGGACGAGGTCCCGGAAGGCGGAGTGCTCTTGCCAGTCCCGGTGTCAAAGTTGGCGGATGATTTGCCGCTTCCATCGGGCGTGAGGGCGGGCATGTGTGGGGGCGGGAGCTGCGGCTGGTGTTGTGTCGAATTCTGTTCTGTGCCGATATGTGTTCCCTTAGCCGCTCGGCTATTTCCGTAACCGCTCTATCTCCCTTCAGCTGCATATGAATCTACATAGACCCGCCTCTGTCCCGCCTCTCTGGAAGCTCTGGTTTTCAGTTAGTTAGAGACACACCGGTCTTGACATTTCAAATTTAGTTACATGTGCAGCTACCCTGAAAATAAGCCCTAGCGCTATCTTCAGGGATTTCTGTAATATAAGACCTACCACCGAACTAAGTCTTATTTTCGGGGTAGGTCTTACTTTTGGGGAAACACGGTAGTATATGTCCTCCCGTGACCCTTAGGAGAACTATGGGGAAAAACACTTACCCCATAGTTCTCCTTTAATGGCCGGATCACTAGGAAAAAAGAAAACAAATGTATCCACCACATCTATGGACTTGTAAGCCGCGTTATATATTCAGTTTTTGGGTTTGGATACAATTTTAGCATAGCCTGTGTATTATTTTCTGGAGCATTAGCTGCGCCTGACGGCCACTCCTGTCCATGATATATGCCGGTTCAGAGTTACGCTGACTTAAATAGCTCTGGGAAGAATGGTTTGCCCATTTAAAAGCCTTGCCAGGCCTGAGCAATAATGTATGAGGGGAGGAGTCTGAGCTTCTAATGAGGATTTGCAACCTGTGCATAAAGAGACATTCTCCAGAGATGGAGGCAAACAAGCCCAAACCTGACCTGGAAAGCGAGGTGAACTGCTCGGACGTGACGCGACGGTTGAAGGAAAAAACAAATCTCTTTTTTAATGCAGTCCAAGTGAAAGCCGTATTGCTGTGCATGGCTCTGATGCCTTGCAGTGCTGCGATCCTGGCTTGCCCCCCCCCCCCCTCCCCTCCCCTCCCCTCCAGGAACACTATCTACATGTCATGTGTATAGATGGGGCTCCTCAACATTCTCCACTTTCCTCTAAAATCCAAAAACCAGGCCGATTCCACCACCAGCCATGTGATCAATTATTTAAAGTGACTCTCATATTATTATTTGCATAGAAAAATGTGCACTAGAGGAGAGGGGCAGCCAATAAGCAGGAAGCAAAGCTTGCATATATATGAGGAGCCAATATGGCCGCCCCCATGTACATGCTCACAAATAATGACATATTTTCTACATGTGCAGTACATGTTGGTAGGTGTCTGTCTAAAACTGGACCTACTGTGATATTCTACCTAGTGCGCCTGCCTTACCATCTGCCCAGACAGCAGATAAAGAGCTTTGAGTCCCTAGGGAGAAAGGGCTATAGAAATATAAATTCATTTTATACAGTGAGGGGAATTTATCAAAATCTGGAGCAGTTGCCCATGGCAACCAATCAGCACCCACCTTTCATTTTCAAACCGTAACCGAGCAAACTGAAGAGAGAAGCTGATTGGTTGCCATAGGCAACTGCTCCAGTTTTGATAAATTCCCCCCAGTATATCTCTTGAGATAGGCTGCTACATTCTAATACTCTGTGTCCAGTCCCTTTATAACATTGGCTACAATAAGTTTGTTTATAACCGCTAAGTTATATTTCTTTTCATCAATTCCCAAAGCCCCGATGAGGTTTAGAAGCCTGCAAAGCACGTTGACTTGTATCGCATGAGGACATTTGGATTGTCAGCCAGTAGTATGGTGTTTCTCTCTGTTGTTGGAGGGACAGACAGGGGAGGGGGTGGGCACAGCCGGCTCTGGCTCTAGAGAGGCAGAGACAGCTGTCAATCAGGCAGCGGGGTGGATCTCGATAATATTGTTGGGATCTTTCCCGGCTTTCTATCAAAGTTTGTGACTACGTTGGAATGTGTGACCAGTGCCGTGGTCACGTATTTGAAAGTAATCCCACCCAGTTTGACGCTTGGTCAGCTGTTCCAGGGCAGATCGGCTCACCGCGCATGTGCAGGAGAATCGATCTGCATTACCTCATCTACCTGGAACAGCTGATCGGTCCTCGAATGTCACTCAAAATGTCACTTCTATTCGACTTTGTGAGTTCGGTGGAATGTGAGATCGCACTCAGAGTCGGATGGAAGTTACATTTGAGGACCCATCACATGGGGTAATGCAGATCGATTCTCCTGCACATGCACAGTGAGCCGATCTGCCCTTGAACAGCGTTGGAATGCTTGACCTAATGGGCGGTCACACATTCCACCTCTGTCAAACTGGATGGGATTACGCCACTGGTCACTCATTCCATCGTAGTCACAAACTTTGATAGAACACCGGCTGTGGCTCAACTCTGCACTGGCAGCAAATAACGGGCAGTAGCTCGCTATATGCTAACTTTGGGTTACTAAAGCCACAAAATATTTTGGCGTCAGTTCCTTTTTTTAAAGGGACGGACTCTGGTGCTTACTAGGGACGGACACTGGTGCAAGCGCCTCGTGCCGAGCCCGCCAGGAAGCCGCCAGCGCGCAGGGCCAATCACAAGCACTGAGACATTTTCCCGGTCCTCAGCTGCAGAGATGGGGAAATGTCTCAGTGCCTGTGATTGGCCCTGCACGCTGCCAGCTTCCTGGCAGGCTCGGCACGGGGGCGCTTGCGAACACGCCCGAGCCCATCACTAGTGCTTACATACTGATGCTGGCTGCACTACCTAGGGAGTCACAGGGAAAGGCATGCAGCCAGTAAAGTGTGACACGTCCGAGCTGCGCTCCTGCGTGCTTGCTCCAGGTCAGTGATTGGTGTCATTGTTTAGTAAGGCAATCTCATTCTTATGCACACATGTGAGGATCGGGGATTACTGGACACTGAATGTCTGAAGACGTTTATAAACGGCATCAATATCTTTTACTTACAGATACAAAGACCAGGAAGTGGAGCTTTTTGTTGGAGGACTACCAAAATCTGAGTGAGTTACTGTTCTTATATATGTTTTTTTTTTTTGATGTAGAAAAAACTGAGCGAGGAATTTTTCAAAGCAATTGCGACAGTTTTAGCCTCTTAGATCATTTTTTTATGTGCAAATCTGTCTTTTATCATGTGCCCCTGTTTTCACCTGAACTTGTTCTGGGCTGTCCGAGACTGGAGCATCACCTAACAAAACAATCGCAACTTAAAGTGACATTAAACCCTCAGATTTTGTAACATAAAACAATACTGTAATGTGCGCCTTACTGTAGTCCATGGTTGTTTCCCTTCTCTTTGCTGCTCTTCCTTTTAAATCCTCATGTCTTCTCATGCTTGGGGAGAACTTCCCTTTGCAGCTGAGTGCCTCTTCCTGTAGTGCTGGCTCAGGTTGTGAACCACGCAGACACCATGTATCCATTCCAGAGACAAGGCAGTCTGCTGCAAAACAGAAGTTCTCCCCCAGCATGAGAACAGATAAGGATTTAAAAGGAAGAGCAGCAAAGAGAAGGGAAACTACCATGGATTACAGTAAGGCGCACATTACAGTATTGGTTTATGTTACAAAATCTGAGGGTTTAATGTCACTTTAACCTCCCTGGCGGTATGATTTTTTTCTTCCTTTTTTCGCTCAATGTGTTTTTGTTTTTTTTAAAAACTTTTAATCTCCCGCCGGTTCCGCCCCCCTGTGACGCGGACGCTCGCAAGGGACGGAACCCGGAAGACGAGTGTCTGCATCGGCCGGAGGACACAGCGTGGTTCGAGGGACAAGGTAAGAGACGCGCTGTGTATTCCCGAGTGTGGCTCGGGTTACCACTTATGGTACAGAAAATTAACCCCCAGCCACACTCGGGAATACCGCCAAGGAGGTTAAGAAGCCCCTCTGACCACTTCTTTAAGATGCGACAGTTAAAGTAGTATTAAGGTCTGGGCGAAGTCTGTTTAAACAGCCCCGATGCTGGCGACGTGCACTGTACGTCGTCAGTCACGAAGGGGTTAATGCATTCTCTGTATTCTCTGCATTAGGGTAAAAACAGCCCAGGACCTTTTTTTCTACCCCAGTCTCCAGTAGGGGCGTGGCCTGCCACAGGGCTGTGTGTGTCTATGGACGCACACAGCCGCTGCGGGCACGAGCGCGCATGTGTGCCTCTATTAGAACGATGGTGGCACCCGTGCAGGGGACGGGGGGAAGAGCATGGCGGGGACACACTAGAAAACGAGGAAAGAAGTACTTTTAAAGAAAAAACACAAAAGGAGGGTCTCCTTAAGGAGAAATAGAAAAAAAGTTTTGGCTTTAATATAATTTTAAGCTTTTTGCCTGAAGTTACAAGTCTTCTTTCCTGGAGTCTAATAAACCTCATTTATCAACAACATTACACCAGCATCATAAATCTGGCGCAAATATATTCCGTGCAAGTTCAAACACTCGCAATTGCTGTGATAAATTCCCCCCTGAATGTTTAGGAGGCAACGTTGAAGAAAATCCTGGGAGCGCTCGTGTCTTTCAGGTCTGTGAACCTACGGACATAAGTGACCCTCGTGCGTGTTGTGCTTGTGGTGCCATTATTTTCTAGTGACACTCCAAATGCGGCAAGCAAGATGTGCACCTCGGTGCACGTGAAAAAGTGCGACAATCGTATGGTCAAGAAACCACGGGAAGCTCACAACTAAATCTGCCGCATGAGCTTTTTTTGCTGCTTTTGTCCCGCCCAGGAGAGCCCATTAAATTGAATGGGCTCAATATGCTGACAGGTGACAAGTGTGCCAAAATGTGCGTTCCTGCGTGCAGCAAGTTTGATTCGGGGCCATTTTGTGTCTCTGCTCCTCTCACAACCTATTACTGAGAGCACAGCTGTACTGTTCAATAATTGGTTTGCTTATTCACCTTTTTATCAACATCTCAGTTTGCGGGACCCGGTTGTGCGGCACTTTACAGCAGTGGAGTTTACAACAGCGGTCTAGCCTGAGATGTTGTCATCAGTTTGCTGCAGGCAGCAGGAAGCATTTCCACAGTCTCCCCTCCCCCCAGTTATCAGTCTGCTGCAGGCAGGAGGAAGCATTTCCTCAGTCTCCCCTCCCCTGGTGATTATCCTGCTGCAGGCAGGAGGAAGCATTTCCTCAGTCTCCCCTCCCCAGTGATCAGCCTGCTGCAGGCAGGAGGGAGCATTTCCTGTCTCCTCTCCCCTAGTGATTAGCCTGCTGCAGGCAGGAGGAAGCATTTCCTCAGTCTCCCCTCCCCCCAGTGATCAGTCTGCTGCAGGCAGGAGGAAGCATTTCCTCAGTCTCCCCTGCCCCCAGTGATTAGCCTGCTGCAGGCAGGAGGAAGCATTTCCTCAGTCTCATCCCCCCCAGTGATCAGCCTGCTGCAGGCAGGAGGGAGCATTTCCTGTCTCCTCTCCCCTAGTGATTAGCCTGCTGCAGGCAGGAGGAAGCATTTCCTCAGTCTCCCCTCCCCTAGTGATCAGTCTGCAACATTGTAACAAGTCACAAGGTGAGAGGTTGCAGCAGGGGCTGATCAGGCATTGCATCACATCTGAGCTGGCATCTCAGTCCAGGAAGTCCATGGTGACCCTGGATGATGCCTGAACAAAGATGGATCCGTCCTTCTGGAGAGAACAGCAGATGAGGGGATTGTCGGAGGGAGTCATGTGATCTCTGTGAGAGGTGATACATACCTGGAAATGTTACACTGACACAGGACTTGGCATGAAAATATATCTGATCCACTTTAAATAGGGATTGATCATTTTAATCGCCTTGAATCTACAGCAGATAATAAAAGCGTGTGTGTCTGTGTCTGTGTGTGTGTCTGTGTATGTGTGCGCGTGTCTGTGTGTGTATGTGTGTGTGTGTGTGCGCGCACAGGCACAGCTGGATTTTGCTGCAGGAAATGTACATATTTACCCTGGTGAATGGAGCCGGTGAAAAGAAGGTTTATCTCCGGAATGAGTCTATTTTGCAAATAATTGTTTATAAAGCTGAACATTCCTCCTCTCCACCCCCCTGCTCGGCACAGGCCCAGCGCTCCGTCAGACTCGGATGAAAAGGTCGTTTTAGGCGATGCTGTGATTCACGCCGGCCAGCGCTGTTCTGAAATCGCGGCACAATGTAATAAGCTGGGAAATTGCAGCAATTATTTAGCACCTAATATCATTGAACCGTATTCACCGCAATGCCATAAACCCCCCTCGCTTTTTTTCCCCCCCTCCACCGTCGCAAGTGCGTTTAACCCCGCGTTGGCTTGCGGTCATAGTTTCCTGAGCTTCCTCCATTGATGAAGGTGTGATGGAGAACTGTGGGGGAGGACCGGCGGATTGTCTGCCAACGGAAGGATTAGCCGAAGGGTCAATTGCAGCAATTATATCATTTCGGCGGCTGTTTACAAAATTAGTTGAAGCGGAACTAAATCTGCCGCCGATCCCCGGAACGTTTTCCGGTGTGTGCGGGTGTAAGAAGAGAGAGGAAAAGGAGAAAGGTTGTAACTTGCGCTTCAAGCCCGTGACACACTGCACGCAAAGCCGTGCAGAGCGAAGCAAAGCTGTCCGGCATGGAGCTTTGTGTGTAGTGCAGGTAGATGATTGACTGCACCTTCAGCCAATCGGCTCATGCGTAACAGGCCAGACGTTGCATCCTGACGCGCGGGTTTATACACGTGAGCCGATTGGCTGAAGATGAATTTTTTCATCTTGGCACGCTCAGCCATGCGAGCTTTGGCAACCTGACGTGCCGGGGAGAAAATTGCATCACACACTGCACGCGAAGGCAGCGCGCCATTGTTCCGCGCTGCTTCGCGTGCAGTGTGTCACAGCCTTTTAGGGTTCCCAGATAAATGGCCTTGCAGCTCCTGGTAGAAGGGGACGGGGAAGGTCCGTAAACTGGTAAAGGTAAAAAGCCTAAAAAAGATGCAGCGACCTGTGCGCATTAAAAGCAATAAAGTTTTATAAGTCGCAACAATAGTGAACTCGCAACTTGGCAGTCGTAGACCCCCGGGGAGACGATAACATGTGACAGCCCTCCGTGGCCAGTGGCAGGGCTGTGTGTAAGGAGGGAACTTCATACTGGATCTCCGCTATGTAAATGTCCTGCCCAGTGGTGGAGAGCGGCAGCGTCCTCACAGCTCAGAACAAGCCTCACTTCCGGGTAGCAGGGGTTGCTATGACGATGCGTCTCGGAGGCTCCTCCTTCTTTGTCAAGCCTGAGGAGCATAAAGTTTTATATCGGGGGTAGGCAAACTCTAGCAAAACGCACATATAAACGTAAATACGCGTTCGCGGCGCCAGCATGCGAAAATGACAATTGCGCTACACATGTTACATATCGCCGCGAACGTCGGAGTGAGAGCAATCATTTTAGGGCCATCAATCACTGATAACACTAAACTGATGAGCGGTAACAGCTTTTAATGCGTCGCCTATGGCCAATTTTGAGTATTGTAGTTTTTTGAAGTTTTGCACGCGTGTGCAATTTTAAGGCTTGACATGTTTGGTGTCTTTTTACCTGACGTGACCCCGTCTTTTATATTTTCGGTAAATTTCCCTTAATATAGTAAAAAATAAAACCCCCAGTGGTGAATAAATACCAGCTAAAGAAAGCTCTACCTGTCCCCAAAAAATTGTATAAAATTAATTTCAGTGCAGCGTTGCATGCCGGAAAAAACGTCACTCAAAGTACCGCAGCGCTGAACACTGAAAAATGGCCGGGACAGTAAGGGGGTGTAACACCGCGGACTTGAAGTGTAGAGGAGGTGTAGATAGAGAAGATGTGAATGATGCATTACATTTTCGTAACACATTAAACCTTTTAGATTTGTCAGTGAACTGCAGCTCTGTAATGTGAATCCATCCCGCAACCATTGTTCCGAGTGACGTTCGGCGGGCCGCAGACACCATGTTTTACAGCAGGTCGTCGTTACCCAGCTACATTGTCACTTTTACCAAACGAGGTGTGTCATGGTCCTTGGAATACTTTATCTCCTGGGACTTCTGTGTCATTATACATATCGGACCAATCGCTGCTTGCCCTGTTTCGAGTCCTCATTTGCATGGCCGAGAGGACCTAGGTGAGGACTGGAGGATACTTTGCAGTTGACCAATAGGAAGGTGGTCGGTTGGGCCACCTTCAGCCCTCGTTCACACCTGAACGTTTTGTAGCGCGTTCTACGCTCGACGAACGCTCTACAAAACGCTCAAAAATATAAATCCCATTGTATTCAATGGTCTCGTTCCCACCTTGGCGTATTTCCGCCCGTCCCTAACGCGCTACAAAACGGCCCACGCCTGAAAAGGTACAGGTACTACTTTGGGCCGTTTTGTTGCGCGTTTCCATTGGGATACAGCCAAGTAGCCTTCGGAAACGCGCGACGGTCGCGCAACTTTTTTTTACCGCGAATCGTGGTAAAAAAACGCGCGACAGACGCGCATATGCAATACGCCTAGGTGTGAACGAGACCTTAAACTGTTGTTTTATAATAGTGTGTGTGTGCATCCAATAAAGGAGATTCCTGTTTGAACTTACATGCAGCCTGCCTGGTGTTTGTTCTGAGCGATCACCACTGGATACGAACAGCACATGGCTGTAGTTCGAATCCCAAATTATCGGATGTCCAAAATATCAGACGCTGCGTTCTGAAAACTAAGGAGTGCCGGGAGAGTGGACCCGAAACACCCGGATTACCTTCATAGAATTCCTCTCCATGTGTGGAAATAAAGACACTCCAGATCCATTGTCCTTGTAAAACGCTGAATGAGACTCCACGAATTAGCAAACGAGTATTTTCTCCATTTAGCCTCGGTACGGGGGCACACACGGCTTCCTGGAAAACTAAATCGGCAGGAAATTCTCCGCGTACAAACGTATCCGAGGAAATAATTGCACTTTCTTAGAACTGAATAGCAGAATTTTTTTTTAATCCTCTGTACTTATCCGGACTTTCCCTTTATGGCGCGGCAGGTGGTTATTTTCAGCGAGCGGTGGAGCGCAGGTAATTGGCACATGGACTTTCATGTTATGCTTAGTATTGCATTAAGCGCTGTAAACATGACTCCAAACAAGCCGCTAGTCGCACGGTACGCTTCGCTCTTTCAAAGCAAACACTTTCTGGATTTATGCGCACTTGATTTTGTTTTTCTTTCTAATTCTGCATCATTCGCATCAAATGTAATCAAGGAATAAATAACAGGACGCAGCCACGTGTAATAAAACCCCGCGGTGCTGGGATTCGGTGTTCGATGTGCACAAAACTGCAGAGACATGCAAAATTGGGGGAAGCCGTTTGTTTCTGTCACTTGTGACAAAAGCGATTACTGTTTTTTTAAATCAGGACTCTGGTCTAATTAGAGAGCAAGGTACTGACTTAAAGGAGAACTATGAGGAGGGGTGCTTTTCACTCGCCTCATAGTTCTAAGCCGACCTGTGACAATGAGACTGTCACAGGTCGGCTCAGTAGATCGGGAAGTGAGCGAACACATACCGGCGTTCGCTTACTTCTCGATCCTGTCACAGCTCTCTGCCGTGACAGGGGAGGGGCTGGATTCCCCCCTCCCCGCTCCGATCCGCCAGCGCTGACTGGCGGAACGGACGGGGGAGGGGGCGGGTACAGCTGGCTCTGCCTCTAGATAGGCAGAGCCAGCTGTCACTCACGCAGCTGGGCGGATCTCGACATCGATGTCGGGATCCGCTCTGGCTGCGGCGTCTCAGCATACCGCGAGCTGTAGCTTGCGGTATACTGAGCTTAGGGTGACGGGAGGACGCTAGTTTGTGTCCTCCCGTTACCCTCAGGAGAACTATGGGGAAAAGCCTTAACCCCATAGTTCTCCTTTAAAGGGAACGTGCAACGCGTATGTTGAGTTTCTGTCTTACAAAAACAGCTGGCACTTATATAGTATTTGAGGTTGAATAAAGACATAAGTCTATCGAGTCCAACCTATTGCTGATGTGTATAGGTCCATGTATCATCTCATTCTTAGGACTACTTGTACCCCTGTATATTACAGTCCCTCAGAAAATCGTCCAAAAGTTTCTTGAAAGATTCCACACTCTTAGCTGAAATCACTGCCGTTGGCAGTGAGTTCCCGACCCTAACTGCTCTTTGTGCTGGAATTTTTTCCCCACCAATTTTAGGTGGTGGCCTCTAGTTTTTGTAATGGAGTTAATCTTAAACAGTTTATCGCTAATGTTGCTGTCACCATTGAACATCTTGTACATGGAAATCATATCCCCCCTTAATCTCCTCACTTCCAGCGTGAACATGTTTAAATTTAGTAGCCTTGTCTCATAGCTCTGGTCCTCCATTCCCCTATTTAGTTTGGTTGCCCTCCGCTGGACTCTCTCTTGAAGTTTTTTCTAGTTGTTGTCAATGAAGCCATCTCCTGGATGGGACAGACTGGCCCCTGAATGCCATATACATCTGTCCACCCCTGGCCTAAGCCGTACCCTAAAGAATGTACTTTTTTCCTTAAAAGAGAGCTATGGGGTCAGTGTTTTTCCTCATAGTTCTCTTAAGGGTCACGGGAGGACACAAACTAGCATCCTCCCGTGACCCAAAGCTCAGTATATATCGTGAGGTACAGCTTGCGGTATACTGAGACCGACATGTGCATAGTGATGTCTCTTCCATGTCATAACGTTAATGAATCTTCTGGTCTGTCTTGCAGTTGAAGCCATTTCCCGCATCCAGCAAGTGGAAGTGGAGCCTCTCCCCAGATGTGTAGTGCAGGCCTTCGCGCCTCAGTTTGAGAAGACGTCCTTAAGTCGCGCCGAGATCCCCGATGTGGACCTGTCTTCTGTGGATTCCAAACTCGTCAGCAGCTTGATGCCGTTCCAGAGGGAGGGAGTCAGGTAGGCAGCAGGTCACACACAGCTTTGTTAGTAATGACTAGAGATTGGTGTTACAGTGTATTTCTAATGTGAAATGGGTTCATTGCTTTTGCATTGTATTGATGTTAAAGTGCTGCAGCGACGGCAGTCTTGTTCTGTCTTGTCTCTAGGAATACTGTCTTAAAGAGACCCTGTCACCTTGCCCATTCAGAGCAAAGTCACCACTTTATACTTACCCCTTCATTGTTCCACCCACTGTTCCTTCCTCTGTTGCAGGTTCACAAAAAAAACCTGGTGTCTGCTAGTGTTGGAACTCAGAGGGAGCGGGGACATTACCTCCTCCATCATGACAGTGCTCAGGCCTAACACTTACTAGACCGAGCACTGCATCATTTAAGGTGGTCACATGCTGCCCCATACCTGGACCCACCGGGTATTTTGCAGGGGTAACCACAGAAGGAGCGACATGGGAGCGCTGGAGAGGTGAATATAAAGTGGTCGGGGGGAAGGGTGGGCTTAACACCGGCTCTGCTACTTTGCTCTAAATGGGCAAAGTTATGGTGACTCTTCATTGCCCTACTCCAACCAAATCTTTTCTTTTTACTTTGGGATAAAGGTCATTAAAGGGTTGGAACCTTTTTTTCTTGCTCTCAGGGTCCCCCATTTGGGTGGTTTTCTGTTCCCCTGACAGCAAGCTACAAGTGTTTGGCTGATTGTACTGTGCTAAGCTGTAAATATGTGATTAGCTTAGAGCTCTGCCCTTCCCTCTGGCAATGTGCATGCTGCCATAAGCCACAATACGGACATCCCATATAGCTTTGAATTTGGGCACTTCTAACTGTATTTAAGCGCATCAGTCCTAAGACAAAGATCTGAGCTGCTGCTGACCGGACTATGTCTGGCTTCAATGCTTTCTTAAAGTGACATTAACTGCTGCTCGCGATATACTGAGGCGCCGCAGCTGAAGCGTATCCCGACAATTGTGCCGGGATCCGCCCAGCTGCGTGACTGACAGCTGGCTCTGCCTATCTAGAGGCAGAGCCAGCTGTACCCGCCCCCTCCCCCGTAATAGGCAAAAAAAACGGAGGGTTTAGAACCACTTTAAATCAGTGACCTGGAAAAACATGTTGAAAGTAATCCGTGTGACATCCCGAAAACTAGCATTTTTTTAAAGGAAGATGGGCAAATTGCAGCCCCCCAAATTTCTTTCATGATGGGGTTGCTTAAAATTGATTTTAATGGTTTTTAACCCTCTTGCTGCAAACCCAAGTTGCAATGTGGTGGCAGCAGCAGGGGCTTGCAAGCGGACTACCAGTTGCTGTAGCAGCTAGGAGTTTGCTTACTGTTGGCCTTAC